CCTCAACATCATCATGAACACCAACATCATGATGAACATCCTCCTCCCCCTCCTCCTCCTCGTCCTCGTCCTCGTCCTCGTCCTCATCATCAACATCAACATCAACATCAACATCAACATCAACATAACATCTTCATCACCATCATTCTTTCAGCTTCATGTTGATCTTCATGTTCTTCATCATCGTCATCAACATCGTAATCAGGATCATTGTCAACATTGTGTGTCCGTATGCCCCTGCAGTGTGAGTGTGCCGGCGTGCCGTGGACTCCGACCATGTGCCCGGTGGGCTGCGAGCGGACCGGTCGTGAGTCCCATGACAAGAGGCCATGTAACACTGTTGATGGATAGTTTGAGTTCAATGGACCGTTGTCTACCCGAGTCCCCGAGGTGCGATCCTTTTCTGTGAACAAAAAATATTGGAGCGGGAGGAAGAGATTCTGCACCACCTGCGATAAGAAAGGTTTTCTGAATTTCCATATCCCAGGTCACCAGGTGGCGCGACCAGCACCATCAGCAGTATCCTGAAATTCTAGCCCTGGTCACGGTGGGTGCGGGCCGTTTCCTGGCCGGAACCACACAGATCCAGCCGAACCACCGCGCCGAAGTCATCGAAAAGGACGCAGGTTGTATCAGGTCGGATGTTGTGGACGCCTCATGCAGCCTCTGGTCACTTGATGCGAGGCTTCCGACAGGAGCTCCAAAAGCTGATTGACCATGCCGTGGGACGTCGGAAAGGCGAGAAAGAGATAGGATCGTAAGCGAGTCGTCAGGGTTCACGCGGGAGTCTTCCAAGTTGCAAGAGGTCGGGGAAACATCGACATGTTCAATGTGAAGACCTATTCTCGAAGGGACCAACGTGCTTTCCACAGACATGACATTGCTTTTGTGTTACCTTTGTTTCTGTTCTCAGTTTGATGTGGTGCTTGAACTTAGAATCAGATGAATCAGTGGGTATCGGCCCTGTTTTCCCAAATCTGTGGATTTGGCAACCAAATGTAACCTGCGTCCATAGCGACCACCTGCCCCTTTTTTTCAGTTTTGAGCCACAGGTCACGTGGAGAGAAACTCTACCGAACCCCTGGCCGTGGCCACGTGGCCTGACAAGATATTGAAAGGATTTGACAGCGGTGACCTTCTTAGGAAGTGATGATATGTAATTTGGGGTGGATCTACGGCTACAGTTGAGTCTTTTACAGAATCCTCCCACAGCGGCTTCCATCGCCTCAAAACTGCGCTTGGCCAGGTGCCCCACGCTTGGCCTGAGTGCTTGGAGAAGAATGGGCAGATTTCGCCAGGCAGGTGTGTCCACTGCAGTGCATCATGGGAGTCGAACCCAGAACCATGTCCCCCGAACCCAGAAAAAATAATGAGCATGGTCAACGTGGTGCTTTGAGGGCCAAAACCCCATGTTGTTCAAGTGTGACTTTGGAGACTGTCCAGTGCTCGATATGACATCGGATCAGGAAATGTTTGAAGCAGCATTCAGGAGCCATACGGATGGAAAACAAGTTGTTTGCCTTGCTTTGTTCCAGCCCTTGCTAATTTCTTTTTGGGGGGGACCTGGTCCTACGAGGCAGTGTGTAAGTTCAGAACGCTCAAAATCATAGCTCTTGAGAATTCTTGAGATCTTAAAGCTTCTCCACATCCCCAGGCACGAATGGTACGTACGAGGACAGTTGGCTATTGCATCGTTTGTCAGATCACCCCAACGCCCTCAGTCGAGACTCACGGGAGGCGGTGGTTAGGTCAGCTCTTGAACAAGGAGCCAAGCCAGCTTCCACAGGTTCAGTTGGTGAGGTCTTCCAACTAGCTGAATTTGTCGCCTAAAGACCAGGATGTGTGGTTTTGTTGTGGCCCAAGTTGTCTAGAACACATGTCTTATCCAGGAGAGACTTCTCCCATCTCCCCTGCAATGGATTTGTGTTTCAGAGCTGGATGTTCCACGAAGCACAAACCAAGGTTTTGTTAATGTTTTATTTGGAGTGTTGGTAGTAGCGTTGGTTCATTAAGCATGATTGACAATCGCGACTTGCTTGGTCATAAGTCATTTGCTCTAACTTGTAATCTATTCCAGAATGACTGCAACCAGTGCACGTTTGCCATTTGTTGGACAGCCTTGAGAAGTGTCGCCTGGGCAACACAGATCACCATGAACATTGTCACAATCACTTATATACATACATAATATTATATATATATATATTATGAAGAGATCTTGTTAAAAGGATTCTCATGTAAAAAGGATTCTGGAGCTGGACCCTGCTTTTTCCCCTTTTAGAATTTACTCTGACTGAGAGGACGCTGTGGTCCTTTTCATCATTTTGCGCATGTTAGCTGTTTGGGTTGTATAGCATTTTGCGCATGTTAGCTGTTTGGGTTGTATAGCATTTTGCGCATGTTAGCTTGTTGGGTTGTATAGCATTTTGACCACGTTAGCTGTTTGGGTTGTATAGCATCTAGCTATAGCCTACTGGTAGTGTATTCAGGCTCAAAGATTTG